GAGCCACGGGGCCGGCCCAACCTGGCTTTGTTTCTGAACTGAATGACTCGGCGCTCCCAGCACCACTGCGCTCCCAAGCACCACACTCTCCCGAGTGAGCCACGGGGCCGGCCCAACCTGGCTTTGTTTCTGAACTGAATGAGGAAGCACTGAACTTTATCTTGGACATTAGATTTATTGAAGCTTATTATTTAATTGAGAGACAAGACACACCTACACAAAGATGACTGTCACTTATTAATTCAACATGTGTTTACGGTATGCCTACTGAGTGCCAGGAGGCACTGTGGATAAAGCAGCAAGCAACTAGAGACCTTCCCTGACTTCACTGAGCTTCAAGTCCAGTGGGAGAGATTAGGCATTAAATAAATGGTCCCACAAATCAGGGCTAGGATTGGGGTGAACCTAGTGAAGCCCTTGCCTTGGGTGCCCAATTTCAGGGAGCTCCAAAAACTCAGTTATCAAGATAATATTTTAAAGCAACTAGAGAACAGGGAGTGCAGGGAGGAGCAGGTTTCAGGGGGTAGGAGGACATCATGGGCTTACTTTTGGGCATTCTGAGTTTGTGAGACAGCACAGGGGGATCTGTGGAGCAGGCAGTTGGATATATAGTATACAGCTCAGCAGAGAGGCCCACTCTGGAGCTCTGACGTGGGAATGGGTGGCCTATATAAGTCATTAATAAAGCCATAGGAGTGGATGAGATTACCTAAAGAGAGAGAATTGAGTGAGTGGGGAAGGAGGTCTGGACCTTGCCGTGTGTCCACCTGGAAAGGCTGAGTGGAGGGCAGGGAGCAGCGAGGAGGCTGGAGGGTAGGAGAGCCAGCAGGGCACTGACAACTAAGGCCGAGTGAGCAGTAGAGAGCACCATTCATGTTACTGCTAGGCGTCCAGACAAGAGAAGGACACCGTGGGTGGGGCTGAGCTAGGAAAGAACTGCTGAAAATAACTGGGCCTGGATAGATAAATAGGATTCAGTTAGGCAAAGAGGAGGACATTCTGGAGGAGAGCAAAAAAGAAGGGTGGGATAAGAAATGGCACAGGTGGCAAGAAATGTGTGTGTTGGGAGCCATTAATCATCCACCAAGCATTGGGATTCAAGAAGAAATATCTATTATAAGAAAAGCTTAGCAGGTAGAAGGGCTTTTAGGATTGACAGTCTTTAGTCTTCCTCTTGCTTTTCTATTTATTTCCCATCCAATTGACTTTCCTCTAACCCAGCCTCTGTGGGCGAGCAAGCATTGCACTGGGCAGCTTGGTTTCTTGCTTTGCCACCCCACAGGTATGAAATGCAATCAAAGCTTTCGCGGTATTTGTGGTCAACCTTACTCAAGGTGAACATTGAGGACAGTGAGCTTTGCAACGTGGCAGAGTGCATTCATTTTAATGTTGAATGGAATACTTGTTTCCTTCTCTCGGACTTACTCACCTCAAAGAGCCCAGCTGCAGTGTAATCGACGCTCCATTTCTTTCCTATGCTCTCCTTCAAGTAGAAGCACAAAAAAGCTTTTGCCTGAAAGGCAAGATGCCAGTGTTATCTTTCCTGAGTGGGCTCATAAATGCAGATTCTTTGGAGAGAGGTGTGTATAATCAGTGCACGAGCCAGCATTTTGCATGTGCGATGAACAGATGTGGCTGCATTATTCAGTTTCCCTATTTGACTTCCCTACTTGAATGTACTTCAGAAAATGTGATGTCGATGAACACATCTCCCCAAGTAAAAATAATCCACTGACAACAGAATTGGCAACCAGATTTGGACATGCCAATAGGAGTTTTGAATGTTCCAGTTAACCACTTGTCACATTCGTTGCTTGTTGAATTTTCTGCCCTAAATGTTATGACGTACTGTGTCACTTCTAGTTTTCTTACTAAAGATGAAATAATTTCTAATTATATTTCCTGTGAAACCATATTAATATTGAAACACATCACATTATGGTAGAAACATATTTGTTTAACTCTGCCCTTTGTTTCCTCATTTTTTTTCAGGTTGTGAAATGTGACATAACAAAAGTGCATAAAATGTCTATGTATACTTTATAGAACAGCTATAAAAGTGAACATCTGGGGCCGGCCCGGTGGCGCACTGCTACAGTGCGCCGCTTGGGAGCATGGCGGCGCTCCCGCCGAGGGTTCGGATCCCACATACAGACCGGTTCCCGCTCACTGGCTGAGCGAGGTGCGGGAGCAACACCGAGGGTTGCGATCCCGTTGCCGGTCCCGGTCCGGTGCGGGCGCGACACTGAGGGTTGCGATCCATTGCCGGTCACGAAAAAAGACAAAAAGGAAAAAAAAAAAAAAGTGAACATCTGTGTAACTACCATCCAGAGTAAGAGTAGATATTGCTGGCACCTGAAACACTAGTGAGACCTTCCTACTTCCTGGACTTACTACAGTCTCACTTGTGTGGTGGTGATTTTATTGCTTTTACTTAGTTTTACCACCTGCTTATCCACCCCTAACAATATAGTCTAGTTTTGCTGGTATCACACTATATGTATTTTTGTGTCTTTGTACAAATGCAAAACTTATGAGTGCCTCTTTAAATTTTGCACCCTAGATGCCTCACTACCTCACGCTGTTCCTAGTCCTGCTCTTTCTCTTGTGCATGTAGCTTTGCTTCACCTTTTTCACTGCTGTATAACATTTCATTAGGAAGAATATACCGCAGTTCATTTATGCATTATGTTGGTGGACACTTGGGCTGTTTCTGGTTGTGATGATTTCAAGGCTCCTATGAATATTCTTTTTTTTTTTTTGCAGCTGTCTGGTAAGGGGAATGAATATTTGTACACATGTCTCCTGGTATACACATACACAGACTCTGAAGTATATATAGCAAAGAGTGTTTTTACATTATTTTGTAAAAGTGGTATTTTTTTTTTTTGTCCTTTTTGAGATGGGCCGCACCGCGCTCAGCCAGTGAGCACTGTGAGCGCACCGGTCATCCCTATATAGGATCTGAACCCGCGGCAGGAGCGCTGCTGTGCTCCCAGCTCCGCACTCTCCCAAGCGCGCCACGGGCTCGGCCCGTAAAAGTGGTATTTTAAATTCTGTCTGCATAATGATAAAACATCCCAGTCCAAAGCAAATGTGATTTTATCGTAAACCTTTGTACGTTAGACATAATGGAAAATATTGTTCATTTTTAATATCTATCAATTCTACACACACACACACACACACACACACACGCACGCACGCACGCACTTTACCTAAAAGTGGGGTCAAATACCTTTGCAAGCAAGCAAGATTAGCATTCAGGACAGACTGCCTCATTTTGAAACACTGACTGAGCTGTTCTTCCTATTCCCAAACCCCATACACATTAGTTTCATGGGTCTTTCAAGGAAAAATAAGAGTGAGTCAAGCAAGATAATTTTTAATTAATTAATCAGAGACAATCATCTCATCAGGATTTTTGTTTTAACGAGCCCTGGTTTACCTCGCTCTACTGTGGAGAATGTGAATTATGAACTGCATACAGCCGAACCTGTTTGCATGTCAGGTTAGCTTGTTTAATGTGCATAGCATATTCCTCCTTTCTGAATAACTTGAAACACATATCTGACTGATTACCATATCTAGAATCTGTTTCCTTCATGTGCTTTGTGATGGAATTTGCTGGTCAAAGCCTCATTATTTCACTATTTTGACAGTTTAAGATTTGATATCTAACTTTTTCTCAGTCAGTTCAGGCTTTTATATCAAATTACCATACGCTGGGTGGCTTAAACAATGAACATTTATTTCTCACAGATCTGGAGGCTGGAAGTCCAACATGAAGGTGCCTGCAGTCCTGGAGTCTGGTGAGGGCCCTCTTCCTGGTTTGCAGATGGCTGCCTTCTCATTGTGTCATCACATGGCAGAGAGCAGAGAGTGTTGGTCTCTTTATCCCCTTACAAGGGCATTAATCCCATTCATGAGGGCTCCACCCTCATGATCCAAATTTCCCAAAGGCCCCACCTCCAAATACCATCACATTGAGAATTTAGGCTTCAACATAAGCATTTTGGGGGAACACAACATTCAGTTCATAGTAAACTCTTCGAGATATTTCAAGTTTTCCATTAACTTTTGTTGTAAGCACTAGTAAAAGAGGATGCTTTTATTTATTTAATTAATAATTTAATTATTAAAATGACCAACTGTCCAGCTTTCATTAGTATTACTAGTAGTTTTAGCAGAATTCTACTTCTATGTGTTGATTAATTGAAATAATTGTGTGATTTATATTAACATAACTATTTTTTTTTTCCTTTTTGTCTTTTTTACTGACCGGTAATGGGATCTCAACCCTCGGTGTTGCGCCCGCACCGGGGACTGGCAACGGGATCACAACCCTCGGTGTTGCACCCGCACTGCGCTCAACCAGTGAGTGGGAACCGGTCTCCACATGGGATCCGAACCCTCGGCGGGAGTGCCACCGCGCTCCCAGACGGCGCACTCTCCAGTGCGCCACCAGGCCGGCCCTGTTAACATAACTATTAATTTAATTAGAAATTTTCTTCTTTTAATGAGGTATATTGTCTTAAAGTGTGTGTAATTTGGTACATACAACTAGTGATTAATTAAAATTTTGCTTCATTGAAGTGCTAGTTTTATAATAAAGAAGTATTTTTCTAGCATGGTTTAAAAACTGATTGAAATAAACCAGCAGGGAAATATGGAAAGTCTGACTTGATTGTAAAAGACTTTATAAATTATGACAACAGATTTAAAATGGCTCTTATGTTTGTGCTTATTTGCATATATTAACATTTAATTAGAGATAAAATTGGGAAATTTTTTAGTTGTACTAATACTTGAAAATAGTTGTGTAATATAGTTTTTTAAAGCTCAGTTTATAATGGCGAAACATACCCCCCTTTGAATGTAAACTTTATTTAAACTTTGCACAAGATTCTTTACGTAATTTTAATTTCCAAATAAGGGAACTATCATCCCCGGTTAAGAAAAAGATTCATTTACTTTTTACACAAGGTCTTCATTAAAGCTCATCTGATCTTCTGCTTTAATTTTTTAGAGTTTACTTCACATTTCACAAAGACTTTCTCCTGGGTTGGGAGAAGTTGTAGATCATCCATGTTTTCTGAGCAAAATGCCATTCTGAATAGAAAACATAAAGCAAACACAGCATTAACTTTTAGGTGGAGCTTATTAAAGTGTTTCATCCTTTATCAAATACTCAATTTATGTAATGCTTGTGATGTCTTTTTAAAAATAGATTCTTATGTTGGCAAATATTTTTATAACTTCAATGAAAAACAAAACTCAATCAGTAAAAGCAATCAGTGTAAGGCTTCCTGGGGCTCTGCACTGGGGCGATTTCAGTTCTGTAAGAACTTAAAGTCCTAGGGGCAGCCCTCCTTTGTTCTCCCTTCTAACAGCTCATCAAAGATTTGAGGGTGACCTTTGTTTCTTCCACTACATTGTCCTGACTCGAGGGCAAACATTTGCAGTTCCTCAACTCTTCCTTGCAAGGCAGGCTCAACTCCCCAGGCTTCTTTCTTTGGAAATGCTCCAATTTGTCAATGCCATTCTTAAAGGTTGGCATGAGGCCACTGCCACGAGCCTCTGCCTGGCTCAGCCCTGTAAGCCCTCCCCCTTCCTCTTATTGGTGTAGATGCTATCCAGCTAAAGAGGACACCTCTGTGTGTTTTGGGTCTCTCTTTGAAACCAACCACTACACACACTTCTTTGGCCATTAACTTGCCCTGAGATGCTCTTTTGTGTTATTAACTTCAATTGTATCTATTAATATATAATATAACTAAATATATATCTGTAGTCACAGACATTTCTAGTTTATGGCTTCTTTTTTCTTTGAATCGCATCTAAGGTCAAGTTTTTACTAAATCATATTTTTTAAATTAAGTGCTATGAGTAATTTATGAATGCATTCTTGAAAAATTCAAATGGTAAAGAAATATATGGAGCCCAGTATTAAAGACTGTCTTCACCATCACCTTTCACTAACATCACTCCCCTTCCTCCTTTCGTGGTTTGGTTTATGTTTTTCTGGACCTATTTCTATGCATTTTTACATATATCAATGTACACAAATATAAAGATTTTTAAACAGAAGTGGAATTATACTGTATGTCTTTTCCTGCAATTTTTCCTTGTCACCATACGACGTATTTGGAGACTTGTTCATATCAATACATGTAAGTCTATTTCATTCTTTTTCACCTGCTGCATGACATTCTGTAGTATGGATATGCACAATGCATTTAGCATTTTCCTAATGAAGGACATTAAGATTTCCCCAGTAATTTACTATTTACAAATAGTACTGCAACAAACACTTTTGTACACATATATCCTTTGTGCACATTTTGAGTAGGTGCACAAATACTCCATGAATACTATGGACACTTAGAAGTAAAATTTGGGTTGAAGTATTACACATATTTAAAATTTTGATAATGTGGGCTGCATGAGACAAAAGACTTTGTTCCATTCACTGCTGTATATCTGCTGCCCACGACAGTGCCTAGCATAAGGTAGATACTAACTAAATGTTAGTCATTGAATGAAATTCCACTGGAAAATGTCTATAATTTGCACTCCCACTAATAGTATATGGGAATGCCCATTTCTCCACATCTTTACCAACTCTGGTTGTTATCTGTCCTTTAATTCCTGCCATACTAATGGGTGACCAGTGAAAATTTCATTGATTTTTGTTTTGCATTTATAGGATTACTGTGGAAATTGAACATCTATCTTCTCATTATGTTTAGCCAATTACTTATGCCTTGCTGCAGGGCCAATATTTTCTGTTCTTTCTCTTTACCCCACTATACAACCCTGCTTATCCCTGACTTTGTGGCTTTGGGGGAAGAAAATCACCTCCCATTGAATTCCTTCCATGGAGACACAGAGCAAGTTACTTAACCTCTTTTTTTCTTCTTCTTGCACTTAGCAGAAAGATTAAGAGTGTAGGGTTTAGTGTTTACATCCCAGCTCTGGGATTTATGTTTGCAAAGGTACTAAATAATTGGTAGCTGTTATTAGTCTCATGAGACACATATTGTAATTCCCACTTATTACTAAAGAACTGAGTCTCAGAGAGGTGAAGTTATTGTTTGAGGTTACACAGTTGGTAAGCAGTGAAGTCAAAATTGGAGTTTAGGACAGCCTGATGCAGAAGTCTATCTGATTCTGCCTACCATATTGACTTGCCTGCTGCCTATCTCCCTGGGAATACGTCTTGACCTCCTCAAAGCCTGTTGCAGTCCAGCCCCAACAGCACCAACCTGAACTGTCTTAATTCTTTGACTTCCTAGATCATGCAATGCTAGACTCCATGGACCACCAGCAACAGTATTGCCTGGGAGATTGTGAGAAATGCAGAATCTCAGGGCCCACCCCAGACCTACTAAAGCAGAACCTGCATTTTATAATGATTCCCAGATGATTTGTATGTACAATAAAGTATGAGAAGCCCTGGGATGGGGTGAACCATTAGTAAAATTAATTAATTAATTTCTCTTATTTTCCTAATTAGGGCCTGGAGCTTCTTTAAGCAAAGAGCCCCAAATCAGATTTCTTTTTGATATTCCCCATTGGTACTTGATACTGATATACCTTAAAAAGCTATAGATCCCATAGCCCCATATTCCCCCACCCTTTTTTAGCATGTACCTCCTGCAGCCCTAAGGAAGGGTTTGATGCATATATGTATTAATGTTCAGCACTGTAACTCTGCTAGATTAGAAGTCAGATTAACAAGGCCAGAACTAATGGAGGAAGGAAACTTTGGAGACAATACACTGGCACAAATGCGCAATAAATCAAACAAACCCAAATCAGATCTGGGCTGGGACAATTTTTAGCAATGTCTTCAACCTGTGTAACTTCTGTGAGCCTCAGGTACAGCCATTTCAGGGTCATTGGGAAGTTGACATGAGATTAATGCTATAGAGTACCTACTTCAATGCCAGCCATGCCCGGGGAGCTCTGTGAGTGCCTGCCTCTTCTCTTTTCTCTTTCTGTCTTCAGTACCATGTGGGTGTGCATCAGTGGAGAAAGTAGTGTTGTGTTTTATACAACCTTTCAGGTCAAGGCACATAGGATCGTCATGGTGAACAGCCACCCAAACTGAGAAATTACTCTCTAGCTAAGAGAATGTAGGAGAGATGGTCCTCAGATGTAGCGCTGATCTAAAGGGCCAAAAAGTCGTGCAATAATAGCTAAGTGCATAAGAGGAGAGAAGTGGTTTAATTTTCTCAGATTGATCATGTGGAGAAATCTGTTGGCAGACTGCAGAGTATGCGCTTAGTAATAGCTGGGATTTTGCATCCCAGGGAGATAAAATCTCAGAGTGTGGTTGCATAAGGGACTCAAGAGGCATAAATCTGCCAGTGGCCAGCTCCTGGCAGTGAAACCCAAGGGGTAAGGGAGGAGTGTAGTTCAGAGGTTAGAAGCCTGCTGTTTTCCATCTCTACTGAAGACAAGCCAAAGAGAGAAATGGGCTTCCCAACAAAGGAAAGGGAGAGGGGAGACAAGTTTCCAGAACACAGAAGGGTGGAGATAGAAAAGGCCCTCGGGAAGCACAGAATTCTCCTGTCATGGGGAACCAAAGAACTATAGAAAAGCATGTTGCCATGGCAAAATGTATTGGGCATCTGTTTGCTCTGCCGAGAAGACTGTAAGAGCAGCTGGACTGTCCTTCTTTTTCATTACTCCCTACTCCCCATTCTTGTCTCTGGGAACTTTGGAACCAGGGGAAATATTAAAGCCCACAGAGCAGCAGTACATTGGCCCATGTCAGACTTTCTTAGGGCTCCTATTAAAAAAGTGTATCCTGGGTCCCTTCCCAAGACTACAGTGAATCAAAAGCTCTGCAGGAGGATCCAGGAACTCTGCATATTTAATAAGCTTCTCAGTGATTCTTTGACATCTAATATTTGAAAAGCACCACCACAGAGAAAGGCAATTTGATATTTTTGAGACTAATGTGTTAGAAGCATTTCTCTTGGTAAACAACAAAGAAATGTCGCATCTACCAGCAGCACCTTGGACCAGTAGCCCTGACATTACCCAGTGATTCATGTACATGCTGTAGTTTGAGAAGCATCAGGATAGTGAGGTGGTTCTCAAAGTCCAGGGGCAGGTAGCTAGTAAGAACAGGCAGTGGGAAGAGGCTGGACTGGTCTTCAGAAGCCCTGGGTGCAAATCCTTGTCCTTCCACCTCTGGCTATGTAAACTTGGGATGATCACTTCTTTCTGAGTTCTATACTCCATCAATAGGGCATAATACCCACTTTATGTGATAAACGAGGGTGTTAAATTGCGCTTTCTGAGTGCTATACTCCATCAATAGGGCATAATACCCACTTTATGTGATAAACGAGGGTGTTAAATTGCGAAACTGCCTGGCACATGGAGATGCTTAAAAGAGGTCAGTAGAAGATTGAATCAGCAGTCACCTTTGCTGGGTTTCTCCTGCTTTGACTCTGATGGTCTTCAGAACAAGGCCTGAGTGGTGGGGCTGCGTGCCCCACGGGATGATGGTCTGGATCGTGTTCCAGATATTGGCCCACACTGCACTGTTTTCCCACTTGAACTTGATCATGACCAGCTTGCCGATATCCAAATCCAATGTGATCAGAAAGGAATAGGTTTTATTGCTAGTAATTCTTTCACCCCTTGAAGATACAAAAGAAACTAGACAGTTTAGTTGAACAGCAAAGTGATGCTTAGGCACATTCAGGATGTGTTAGGTTTGCCTGGATGACTTGGGTGGTATTTTTTGTTGCATTTCTCAAACTTAGACTATTCATAGAGAATAGTTTTCCAGACAATAAAATTGGGAAAACCATGCTATTTTCTGTGTTCGCATATTAAAAAGTCTCTGAGAAGTCCTGCTGTAGTGAATCTAGTGAACTTTCTTTATCTTAGACTCTTTCTTTCTAGCTTCTAGAAAAAAGCCCCCAAGTAGACAGTGGGTCCTGGGCAATGGCCTCGGGACAGTTCAGCTCTCTATCCCCACTCCATACTCTCTCCCCAGCAATGCTTCCCCCCTCCCCCGTAAATAGAAACTTCTATTAAAAGAACAAAACATAACAGTAATAGAAAAGCTGCATATAAAAAGGATGCATCACTTTAGAGCAAGATTTAAATGCAGACTCTGAGGCATCATTATCAGCTTTACTCACTAATCTCTAAGACATTAAAATACCCCAACATTGACTGAGCAGCTAGACGCCCTTAATGCTGTTGAGAACAATCCCCTGGGGAGAGATTTTAGACAGTGCAGAGGTAACACTGGATTTAGGGGGAGGCAGATGGACAGAGGGTTCCCTTGAGTGGCTCATCACAGCTCTCCTTGCAGTCAGTTGTGAAGAATCATTCAGAAATCCACCCACGTCACTAGGCTGTGAGCATCCTAAGGAGAGGGCCCTCTCTGTCCTTACATTTGTTGAATAGAGCACCAACAAATACTTGCTGAATGACTGAATCCAAAGCAGGGGACAATCTTCAGGAAGCTAAGGATGTTCCCTAGAGTGGGTGAGGGGCTAGTCTCACCTCCCAGGGGGAGTCCCTGCTGAGGGTCAAGATACTAGGAAAAAAGCAGCTCGTGGGCATTTTCTGGCCAGTGAGGCTGCTGCTGCTGGTGTGAGCACGTGTGTAACAGGGTGGAGGACAGATGGGGAGGGCTGGCAGGGCAGGCTGATTGAGATTGGGAATTTGTGACAAGTTGAACGATACCAGTTTTACTTCTCGTTTATGGTTTCCAGAACTCACTGAAAAGGTGCTCAGGGCTTTCTTGTGGACACCTACTCCACCCCTCACCATTCCTCCCTGCTTGGATCTTCTTCCTGCACTGCAGACTCTGATGGGGCTGCCCTGCTCCCGTCTCTGCTCAGCTCGCAGTGCATTAGCCCCGTCACGTGCATAGGGAGTGCTAACACAGAGCTGTCGGTGGAACTCGGTGAGGCTGAGGAGGGACACGAGGGGCTAGGCTTGGCTGGATGTCCCATCTGACAAGAGGCTTGGGGCAGCAGTAACGGGATGAGAAGAGTAAGTAGTGTGTGGCCCGACCCTTGAAAAGTACAGCGTCCATCCAGACCCTGTGAGAAAAATAAGCATGTCTTCACCACAGATGGGGGCTACGCCTCATACTCACACAGTGATGGGAATTTTCTGCATTTCCTCTTTTGTCCCGAGGAGCGACATGGTAAAAGTTGGTTCTACCGGCTTCTCTATTTGGTTGATAAACTGGATCTTGAACTGGTAATGATAAACTAGAGAGAGAGAATTTAAGCAGAAATTTTTGATTAAAAATCTCATTTTAAAAAATTTTAAAATGTAGAGGGAAAAGTTTGGATGGATAGATACCAAAATGTTAACTCTTTTTTCACCCGGGGTGGTGGAATGGTGGATGCTTTTCGTCTTCTTCTTTTTCCTTCCCTGTGTTTCCTAAGTGTCTACACAGGACCTATATTGGTTTGTAATGTAATAATGATAGGTATTATCCAGGAAAACGATGGTAGGATAGGAGTCTCTACAGCTGTCATTCTCACTTCTCTCTCTTGCTCTCTCCATATTCTCTAAGTGTTGGCAGTGGTTTAGTTCCAACATTGCAAACAGTACAATATGACAGGTCAATTCCATTTGACTGATAGTGACTGCCTGGAGCCGTATGTTGAGATGGATTCTGAGACCATGTCAGGCTCTTGAGAAGATGGGCATCTGCTTTGGGCAAAGGTTAGGGGATTTATGGTATGCTTGCTGTGTATTTGTCTTTCCTAATCCACTAACCTGAACAATGTACCTTGCATATGGTAGGTGCTTAATATACTTTTGTGGGATGAATGAATGACAGTTTGCTTGGGTGTGATGTATCAGGATGTGTATTAATACTTAGCAAGATGGAAATTACTTCTAAGGATTCAAGACTTGAGTTTCAAGCTTTGTTGTAGGATGATTCTTATCTGAAAACTTAGATTATGGTAACTAGCCACTTGACCATCCATCCCTCACACCCACTATGTGGAAATTCATCATCTCATCAACCAATCTAGTAACTCCCGAATAGTGCCACTTTCACTGGAGGTTGGTAGCTACACAACAGACCTAGCAGCAGCTGTTGCTAATGGTGTACTGCTAACACATCAGCCTGAGTGTCCTGGTGAGCCTGTATTGCTAAGGTTTCTAGATTATTTACATGATCCCATCCTTTAGCATAAAACAATCTTCCCATTTGGACTTTGTGGTTGATTTGCTTATGATTCTGGGGATGATATCTCTTGGGTTTACTTAAGAGGTTGTCTCTGAAGCACCAAATGTTTGCTTATTTATGTTTACAACAAGAACCAAACACTAAGAGTCCAAGAGTTTTCTGCTATAGGTAAGAGCTAGCTCAAGTACTATCTGGCACTTAGCACAGTGCGCTGTACATACCAGGAACTCAAATCCTCAATCCTGAAATAAAGTAGTTTGATGCCCTCAAAACAGCAAAAAATGCTGTGGGTGAGAATTAAGAGAAAGGATATGGGCCCAAGTCCCAGGAAGGATCCCTAAACCCTTGGGTGGCAGAAGGGGAGGGAGGGGCTCTGGCCTATTGTTCTAGAAGCGTCTGGAGAGGTCTTACAATGTATTTGGGGGTTTGTCAAGGAAACTGTGTAACAGATGAACAGTGTAATAAGTTGACCTGAGGCAAAAAGGAAAAGTCATTCCGAAGACATAGGCTGTAGGCATCCGATGGGAGGGGGCAGGATGTGGACAAAACCGGGTGGAAGGACTGGTCTCATGTCAACCTCCTCACGGCGAGGCAGAGTGTCTTCCAGAGAACTCAAGGAACACTCATAGCAGCCAGTTTTCAATTCAGTTTAATATGATACATACTAATTGGAAGTCTACCATGTGCACAGCCCAGTGCTAGACACCGTTGTGACTCAGCCATAAAAAAGAATGAAATTCTGCCATTTGCAGCAACATGGATGAGCTTGGAGAAAATTATGTTAAGTGAAATAAGCCACACACAGAAAGAGAAGTACTGCCTGTCCTCACTCATAAGTGGGAGCTAAGAAAGAAAGGAAGAACGAAAGACCCCAGTAATATGTTGAACTTTCAGAAGGAGACAACAGACCTATAGTTACTAGAGGTGAGAAAGGGGGAGGGGGAGTGGGGTTAGGGAGTAATTGGGTAAGGGACACAAAGAATAATTACAATTTGTAGTGAAGAACATGCTAATAATATTGATTTGATCATCACATACTGTACACAAATACTGATAGTCAACTCTATCCCATAAAAATGTATAATCAAAAATAAATAAAATAAAAAAACAAAACAAAAAAATACTGCTGTGAATGAATGAGTAAAAGCCAGTAGTTGGTGGTATGTATGATAATAACATTGGCTAATATTTATTTTGTTTTTTGCCAGATGCTTTGTATGTATAATCAAAAATAAATAAAATAAAAAAACAAAACAAAAAAATACTGCTGTGAATGAATGAGTAAAAGCCAGTAATTGGTGGTATGTATGATAATAACATTGGCTAATATTTATTTTGTTTTTTGCCAGATGCTTTGCATCTATAATTTCACTTAACCCTCAAAACAGTCAATACGATTATTATCTCATCTTAGAGAAGAGGAAACTCTGAAGCACAGAGAGGTCAAGTGACTTTTCCAGGACCACACAGCTAGTAAGTAGCATATCTGGTATGTAACATTAGGCAGCTTGGCTCTAGAACCTGAACTTTTAAATGTTTATACTTGAGACCACTAGCTTTATATACCCTAAGGAAAAAGTTGAAATGTGGAAAGAGATGTAAGTTTAAAAAAAGTCATAACAATTATTTATTTAAAAATAAACCAGAAACATGCTAAATATTCAGTAACAGCAAAATGACTGTGTACTAATAATGACAATTATAACTACCATTAAGTTCTTTACACTGACTCAGTGACTGAGCTGATTGTTTCACATAATTATCTCATTTCTCTTTACAACTACTACATAAGATGTGTAATTTATCTTCCCTCCCGTGTCATTTCACAAAATGAAGCTGAGGCTCAGAAAAAGTTAAGTAACTTGTCCATTGTCATACACCTAATAACTTGTGAAGCTGCAATTAGAAGTTAGTCTGCTGATCCAGAGTTTTTATCCCCAACCAAGTGATTTACTCTTATAAAGCCATAAAAAAATTTTTTTCGGAATGATTTCAATGCTTATAAAAGAAGTGAAAAAGAAAAAAACAAACAAACCAGGATATGAAATTGTATATCTACTATGAGACCAACTGTGTAAAACAGAATGCACAGAAGTTGGGGAATTCACAAAAATATTAACAGTGCTTATCTGTGGAATGGGAAGATAGGTAATTTAAATTTTTTTTCTTCATACTTTTCTGCTAGTTCCATGTTTTCTACAATAAACATGTATTCTGATTAGAATCTTATTAGAAAAAGAAAGAGCTTTTAAAGGTATTCCTTAAAAAAACCAAGAGAACTAGGAGCTGCAGTCCTGGCCTTGGAGGAGCTTGCAGCTGGGAAGCAGAGTCACTCATGGGATCCTGGTCACCTTCTGCCTTGTCCCATGGGCATTGATGTCCAGGTCTGCTCTCCCTGAAGACAGTCTCAGGGCCACATTACTGTTTGTATCTCCACAGCACACACTAGGCATCCACGGAGTACTTAACAGGCTCTTTGTGTGAAGAACAACATGGGACATACTGCATTAAACTCCCTGATTGTGAATAGGAAGAATGAAAAAATAGCTTCCCTTTGTTGCAATCCTACTATGCATCGGTCATAATCATAATATAATCATAATGCTATGTGTTTTACATGCATCATTTCTGGTCCTCATAACAAGGCTATACGATGATAACATTCTGGGTAGTCTCCATTTGCTATCTCCATCCCTGCTGTCCCCATCCACTCTCCACCCTTCTCTGCCCAGCTCTGAGCCCCAGGATGTGACCCTTCGGACAGCATCATCTCCTGGCTCCCTTGCCAACTGGTTTCTGTTTGGGTTTGATCACTGGGGAGGCACTAGCAGGAGATCAGGGCAGGGGAGAGGCCAAGACATCTTTTCTCTGCTCCTTCCTGCTTTGGAGCCTGACTGCAGCAACTGCGCCCTCACGATTACCAGCAGCCCCTCCTCCACGTTCTGCCTGGGCTAGTCCCATCCTCTGCTCCTTCCGTCCTGCTGTTAGAGTCAGGGTGCAGCCACAGCCCTTGTCGGTTTCCTTCATACTGCCCACCCCTCTGTAAGGAGTCCCACTCGCTTTCCAGCTGAACCAGGCAAGTGGAGTCCTGTTTTCTGCCAAGACCTAGGCTGATCTGGTGTTAATGATCCTGGTGAATTACAGATAAGGAAGCAGAGGTCTGGAGACCTATAGTGAACCAGATCATTAGAGGTGGAGCAGAATTTGAACCCAGGTGTCTGTCTGATTCCAAAAGACCCCTCCCATGTCTCCTTGTGTTTTGGTTCTGTGAGGTGAGTCCTCCCTTTGAAAGCAAATGGCAAACAGCCCCTGAAGAAAAGCTGTGGTCAAAACCTGCCTGGAATGAAGCCACCGAGACAAAGTGCCTGCTGCTTGGACCCACTGACATCCATCCTGGGCTATTATTGCTGCTGCAGAGTCCTCCCTCCTGTACCCTGAATGTCTAGCCCTTGAGCAGGGATAAATGTTTCATGTCCCTGTATTGGAGATGCTTTTCTGTCTTCCCTTTTTCTTAAATCGTGAGTAGGAGGAGATTGATTTCCCTGTCTGAGATGCTACAGTTCCATGACTCTAGGGGAAGGTGCTTGTGTAAAAGCCACAGTTAGCTTCGGATGATTGCAAAGGCCCCTTTAGTGTGCACATCCTGTGAATGAGAGTTACCTGTCCCCTGAGACATCTCCCTGGAGTGGGACCTATGCCGGTGGTCAGAGCCTGTACAGGTGTGTGGGCATGGAGGGAACCCGCACTGACGCTGAGGCGGCCTTGTGTTTGCAGGAGCATTTCTGAACAACTCCATGTCTGCACAAGGAATCCTGTGCACAGGGAATCTGGTGACTAGCAAGGTCACCTTTTCGGAGAAATTTTGAAATGAAATTATTTTTTAAATATGAGAGAACCTTTCATATGGTGGATGAATTATTCTTATTTGGATTTTTGTAAAGATTTTTCTTTAAAAAAAAAAAGGACAATTTGCCTATCACTCTACCTCCCTCAAGACAGTGATGCTATTACAAAGATTAAGGAAAAAGTGTGCATGATTTTGCTCACTTTACCTAATGACATGTTTAATAAGATGTTAAAGAATGATTTGGGGGAAAATGCTTTTGATCCTGTGATGGTGAAGAGACCAGTACAACACATTCCCCAGTTCTGGCAGGAGAAATTATTTCGGGTCTGAAAGATGAAAGGCGTGAAATAGTCCATTGACCCTGAGTGAGATCAGGCAGACTCCACGTAGAGCAGAAATGTGAGGCCTCTGGAGGTTCTCCTCGCCAGGAACAATCCCGGATTTTAATCCTGTGTAGACCCTGTGGTGCCATTTAAAAAAGAAAAACTTAAATTTCTTTTCACGAGGCAGCCACTGTGAGTGTCAGGTTGTGAGGTTGTGGAATTTAAGAAAATAGAATATTTTCTTTCTTTCCTCTTTTTTTTTTTTTTAGTCTCATAGAAGAAATGGTTCTGAATCATTAGACATTGGATCTGGGAGATATTTTGATTCTTCACATACATCAAAGATGGCTTTTTTTTTTTCCCCTCAGTGTATGAATTTTCTCTTGTGGAGATGGTAGGAATGAGATCTCTTGGGTTTTTTTGAAGCACTGAGGGCTTGTTCCTCCACCTGAAATGCCTCTAACCTGAGAGAGACACTGAAGATCACGGGGTTGAGGGCCCGAGGACAGTGTTGTTTGGGGTGTTACTGCACGAGTGGCCAGCACTGGCAGAGGCTGAGTGAATTAACTCGGATCAGGCTCAAGTGTAAGAGAAAAGGGACCAGCGATTTTGTAAGTGTATGTATGTGTGTGTGCATGTGTTTACTTTGGGGACCACATTTGGGTTTAACAGGACAGAGCCCTTACGGGATGCCCTGATGTCACGAGATCGGATGCTGGCCCTTCTGTGGGTCGCTGGTGTTGACTGCAGATGGGGGAGTGTGTATGTGGGCGTGTGGTGAGGAGGCCTGTGTGACTGGCATCCCGGGCCAGCTCTCTGTGCCGTGGGTGCTTCATGTGGGATGGGAGTGAGTCCTCAGCTGAAAGATAGGCCCAGAGTTTGAGTCCCCTCTGCCACCTGCTGCCTTGTGGTGGTGAGCACGCACAGCCTCTCTGGAGCTCACTCTCTTCATCTGTGAAATGGGGATTGAGAGCTCTCTCACAGGGTGTCGTGGGGATGTGATGAGATGGCCGTGTAAAAGCGCCTGCCTTCCGGAAGAGACTAACCTGGTGCTCTCTACTCCCTTCCTCCACGCTGGGCTGACCAAGCAAGGTTTTGAGACCCACATGAAGGTCTCATTTGTAGTGGTTAATCCCCATGCTTGTTCACACCCCTCGCTTTGTGGCTGAAAAAACTGAGGCCCACATGGGTTTTGCCACTAGGGCAAGGCCACCTAAGCGGTTGGCAGCAAAACCACATTGTTGACGCTGCTTACCCCAACCCCAAGCCTGTGTTCTCTCTGCTACCTCCACTGTTTCTTTGGAACTCTCCCTGGAAATCAGCAAAAACCTTCCAAAGTAGGAGCTGAGAAAAGCCAAAGACAGATAGACTCCCCAAGTCACAGTCTGGTGGGTGATCTCACCAGCCAGCAGGAACGAGCGCGCTCCCGGCTGGCTGAGCATGTCTCTCTCTGTGTCTCTGTGTCTCCCCCTCTCTCGGTTGCCCTGAGGACCCAATGATAATGAGATCATCCGTGCCACACATCCAGCATGGAGCCTGGGCAGAGTGCCCCGTATGTGCCACCTCCCTCCCTCCTGACAGTCACTTCATCCCATTGCTCTGAGGATTAACTTAGTTGAGGAACTTGCTCAACAGGTCTTAATATAGAGTTCCACGCCCCCCCTCCAAAAAAAACAGGCTCCCAGACTGGAGAAAGTGGGAATGGGAGTGGGCGATTAATCGCCTCGTGTCACCCAGCTCCCGTTCCCAGTTCTCTTTTGCTCCTGCTGAACTCTTGCAGTGTTTACCCGAGTTCTGGAGAACGCACGGAGAAAATAGACCCTTTGATGGTTTTGTCGATATATCTGGGGAGACAGAGGACTGTGGACCAAGTTAGTCATCCTTTGTGGAACTACAATCAGGAGGCGATGTTTATCTTGCCTGACCAGACCCTGCACTAAAATATATAGTACAATTCGATGTCCTTGAAAAATATGGATTATGGTTTCTCTGGATACCAGGGCTGGGCGAGTCTGCTCTTTTAAGAATCTGTACGTATTCATCAAAATGCTGGAGGTGGCCAGTGAAATAGGCTTTGGGGCAAAGTCAGAGTTGATCATGGTGGTGATGGGTGGGGAGTGGTGCAGTTATGGTGGCCTAGATTAAAGGCTGCAGACCAGCACCGTCAACAGAACGTTCTGCAATGAGGAAAATGTTTTATTTCTGTGCTCTCCCATACAGCCACGTATTTGAGCGCTTGAAAGGTGGCTAGTGTAACTGAGGAACCAAATTTTTGTTGTATTTAATTTAAAGTAATTTAAATTTGGGTTTAAATGGCCACATATAGTTTTGTGGCTTGCTTGAAAGGTGGCTAGTGTAACTGAGGAACCAAATTTTTGGTTGTATTTAATTTAAAGTAATTTAAATTTGGGTTTAAATGGCCACATATAGTTTTGTGGCTGCCATGTTGGATAACATAATATTATACAGATTGTGGCATCCCATGGCTGCCGCCTCCAGACAGGCGGGTTTCACATGGGGATAATTTCCAGGGCAGCTTGGTATGACCACAGAGACACTACTCCCCACTACCAAGTGAAACCAGGTTGAGCAGATTAGGACTTTGCTCGCTGGAAGGACTGAAGCAGAACTAGGGAGGATTGGGGGTGGGGGGATAGACCGAGACGGGGAGGTGGAGGGTGTGGTGTGGGCCACAGCTCAGCACTGGTGCCTCTGTCAGGGACTGTGTGCTCTGGTTCCCGACCAGCTTCAGGCAGTCCTGCCTTGGAGCCTCCGCATCACTGGCTTGGTAGGTACCATCCTCATTGGATGTCCCTGGAGCAAGATAAGCAGGTGGTAATAAAGAGACATAAATGTTGTCTCCAGGGGACTCATGGCCTGTTGGTCTCCACCAAGCCCCCTGAGGGTGACTCTGTCAAAGAATAAATGAATGAATGAGCACATAGATTTTGATAGCTGGTGGGTGAGATAATGCTGCCCTAATGCTATTCTTTGGTCCTCCTTAATATGAAAGGGGTCCTTGTGAGCTCACATCAGTGGCACATGGTGGTCAGTGGTGGCGGGCACTTGGGCTGTTGACAAATGGAAGGAACTCAGTCTGGCTCTCACTCTGGAGAGCCTCTTCCTTCTCTCCATACTTGCCTCCCTCCCCCAGCTCCAAGGCCCCAATAGATGTCCTTGGGCTGGATCAAGCCCCTTACCTCAGATGGAGTTCCCAGTTGAGCCATGGAAGGTGAAAAATGACCTCATTTCTTCCCAGCTGACCTCAAGGAGAATGCAATCCCTTCCCTTCCCCTCCAGTCTCCCCACCCACACCTCCACAAACAGACCAGAGGCAGCTTACTGAGGTACACATCACTCAGCTCATTGTTTGGAGGCCCTAATCTAAAGCTAGAATTCATTCTGCTCTGTAGGCAAATAATTTTTCCTGTTTGGGCCTCAGTTTCCCCATTTGTAAAAGTGCAAGGTTGAACAGTCCCTTGTAATGCTAACATTCCACTATTAAAATAGATCCAGTGAAGTGTGATTATCTGAGAGGCTTAATCACTCTGGATGGCTTTTCCATTTAAAAGAGGCGCTGGTTAGCTCAGATGAGGCTCTAATTGGCAGCCTGTAGCACTGGAGCTCCCGGAAGCAGGAGGCCTTCCAAATCCCTCTGCCCCCTGCTCCCAGATACTAATATCTCCTAGGGTATGCCCTAGGGTACACACAGAGGAGAGGACCCTCCAGCCCCTCATGGGGGAAAGATCCCACCCTCATGCCACCTGCTCCCTAGACACTATCTGCCACCCACAAGGGATTTCTATCATTCCTGCACCTGCTTGGCTTATGGAAAGGAAATCTGGCTGGAGAACAAAAGTTCAAATAAATGGATGAATCCTGCGCCTAAAAAATAAGTCAAGGAGCCCTGGGCTGGGAGTCAGATGGCCCTGTTCTAGGCCTGCTCACAGGCTGTGTGCCAGTGGCACTTTCTCCCTCTTTAAAATAGGGGAATAACCAGCCCTGCCGGTGTCGCTTGGCTGTTGTGAGAACACAAGCAGTCGGTGGCTGCATCTAATGTTTTGTATAAAATGCTGTACAAATGCAAAGTGGTGGTGTTCTCCAGATACACATATCTGTGTGGTAATAATCAAACAGCACAACACCAGATTCCTTCTCCCTGCGCTGGAGAGGGTGTGCTGTGAAAATGTAAGATGCTAAATCACTCCCGAGCTGTTTTAAGGATTAGGCAGAAATGTTAATGGCAACAGATGTTGGCTTGTTCCCTTCAGGCAGATTTAGGCTTCAGTGGAGTATTTCTCTGCTGGCTTCAGCCCAAGACATGACCAACGCCCTTTCTCCGACCTCCCCTTCAACCCAGAGAGTGGCAGGGGCTCACTTTCTGCCTTGAGGTTAAGGATCTGGCTGGGAAACATTGGAATCTTGTCTTAGGAGGGCTTCAGTAGGACAATAATGTTCTGTAAGATCAGCTGAATCAAACATTAGGGAAAATGAGGAGCCACGGACTCAGCCTGGAACCCATTGTTTTCATGGGGGCGGTGATGGAGATGAAAGAACTGGGTGCTAGTTGGGTTTGGGGACCGTTCCATGTCCCTGTACAATGAGATCTGCGTGGTCCAGGTGACCACTAGGGGCTTTCTGGATCTAACATTCTCGAGGACCATGAAAATAGATGAGGAGAGGCCAACCCAAGGATTGTTCCAGAAATTATCAAGATTTCTCCTTCTAGCCCTGGACAGCAAGGTGGCTACATTCTTGGGAAAGGGGAAGGGTTGTGTCTGGAGTTTGTGCAGTTCCAGAAACACTGTATCAGTAGAGCTGAAGTGCCTCCAGGGCCACCTCCTGTCCTTCTGAAGGCTCCAGGCCACTCAGCACTCACCTTTGAAGGGGGACTGGGCTCGCGTCACGAGGAAGAGCCTCTTGCTCTTGCTGTGCCGCTCCTGGCGGATGTGGTAGCCCAGCGTGTTGCAGCGGCCCTTCCTGCAGCTCAGACACAGCCCCTGGCTGAATCTGTCCATGTTGTCGCACAGGTAGGCCGTGCTCTGCATGCTGTCGTGCAGCAGGGAGTCGATGAAGAGGTGCACCGATCGCTCGTGGGCACACTTTATGGTCTGGAAGATGGCTGGAATGCAGGGCAAGAAGGACGTTATCACCCCTTAACCCAAGGTAGCCTCAACTCAAAGAATCATCCTGTTTCTTAGATTAGCAGCGGCACGTCGGGAGGCAGGGCTGGGATTGCTGAGGTTGACCCACTGACAACAGCAGGATGAACAAATGACTGAAAACTAAGGAAAGCAGACGCCTCTTGATTATTTACCATTGGGGCAAAATCCCAGGCAGGGTAGGGCGCCTGAGGACACCACTCTATTACATTTTGTTACAGTAGGTGTTTTAATAGGCATCCCAAGTCACTAAGAAAAGATTAAATTATTTAAGAAAGCAGGGTAGTGTCAGTCACTTAAGAAATATTTCTCAAATGGTTAAAAATGCCCAAGTGATGATGCCTGGAGGGTGAGCTGACTGGAACAGACTTGTATGGGATGCCTCTTTTCTTAGTAAAGCTGGGTAGACACTCAGCTGAGGCACTCGCGTGGCACACTAGTGGTCTGGTAAAAGCTGAGGCCTCTCCCACAATGCCCACCTTATGTCCCCAAACAGCCGTTGAATCCCTTAGGAACAGGCCTGTAACACCAGCATGGAGATTGGATTTATTATTATTATTATTTTTTACCTCTTTTATTTATTTATTTTATTTTATTTATTATTTTTTATTAATATTATTTTTTACATTCTAGGATGTTGTTGTGGAGCAGTTGTGAGGGAGGGGGAGAGAGGAAAGGGGAAGGAAATAGGATGGAAGAAGGAGGAAGGAGGAGGAGTGGGATTGAGGTCTGTGAGTCTCCAACATGGGAGACTGGGGGGCTTCCAGCAGTGGTTTGGTCATTGCTGGACCGGGTGCAGATGTCAGGGGTGTGTGGCAAAAGCCCTAGTCCCCCGCCATCCCAGCTTGGGAGAGCCCAGGGTGCTTCCTGTGGCGGTTCAGTGGTCATCGCTAGGGTGGTTGCACTGGTCACAGGGGTGTGGCCAAAGCCATCGGCCTCCACCCTTGGGACTGGTTATGGGTGTCAAGGAGTATGGCTGAGGCCCCCGGCACTCCCCACTTTCTGGTTTGGTAGCCCAGGGGACTTCCCAGTCCTTCTAGGTGTTATAGGTGTTCTTTGGTGAAATGAGACCTTTACTAGTTAATATCAAATTTATTCTCTGGTTGTGGGTATTTTGTTTTTTCTTCCAGTTCTGTGTTGTATTATTTGCTGTTCCCACCACTCAAACTCTGCACTGGAACTAATTTGTTGTCCTTTGCTTACTTCTAAAATGGGGGAACATCCTGTGAGGACCAGTGCTTGAGCCCTGTGGTTGAGCTAAATTGTTGCTTTGCTGCTGATTCCCTAGGGAAGGCTTTTTGTGCAGCTCAGGGTTTAATGGTTGACTTTATAGGTAACTGCAGTTCTAGTGAAATCTGGTGCACCTGGGTTGTGTAGACACTCTGGTCTGGACCTGAGTCTTTTCATCAAACTGTACCCCATGCAATTCTATATTCCTTATTAGTCTCCTCTGAGTGGTTCTACACTGACTGGGGTACAGATCAGCTGTCCTTGCTGTGCCCCAGTGTTCCCCTGGTGGCCCTGTCTCCCCCACCGCTCATGCTCCAAACACTTCCCATGGGATGGGCCATGCACCAATCCCTTGTGATGACTCACTGGCCTATGAGTGGCTCCTTTTTTTCAGTTTTTGTGGCCCCTCTCTCCTATGTGGGTCCACGGGAACCCTATTAGTTGTATTGCTGGCCTGGGGGCCACTAAGGCCCTTTTCTCCCCTGCCACCTCCAAGCAACTTCATCTGAAGGGCACAGCTGCAGCTTTTGCCAGCTATCCTGTGAGGACCAGTGCTTGAGCCCTGTGGTTGAGCTAAATTGTTGCTTTGCTGCTGATTCCCTAGGGAAGGCTTTTTGTGCAGCTCAGGGTTTAATGGTTGACTTTATAGGTAACTGCAGTTCTAGTGAAATCTGGTGCACCTGGGTTGTGTAGACACTCTGGTCTGGACCTGAGTCTTTTCATCAAACTGTACCCCATGCAATTCTATATTCCTTATTAGTCTCCTCTGAGTGGTCCTACACTGACTGGGGTACAGATCAGCTGTCCTTGCTGTGCCCCAGTGTTCCCCTGGTGGCCCTGTCTCCCCCACCGCTCATGCTCCAAACACTTCCCATGGGATGGGCCATGCACCAATCCCTTGTGATGACTCACTGGCCTATGAGTGGCTCCTTTTTTTCAGTTTTTGTGGCCCCTCTCTCCTATGTGGGTCCACGGGAACCCTATTAGTTGTATTGCTGGCCTGGGGGCCACTAAGGCCCTTTTCTCCCCTGCCACCTCCAAGCAACTTCATCTGAAGGGCACAGCTGCAGCTTTTGCCAGCTCCTGCTCCATGGGCTCAGCAGCTCCAGCCTGGATGTGGCTGAGGATCTAACCAGTCAGAGCAGTTTTTTCTTTCTCTCATTGCGGCTTCTCCCACATTCATGCACTCCGTAGGTCTGTCCTCCTCTTCCCCTGAGCTCTAGGGGCCCCAGCTTGGCTGCTGTTGCCTTTTTATAGTTG